AAACGTTCGAAGCATCCATCCTTCGGTAAACTAACCGCGAGTAGCCGGACTAAATACGAAAAGAACTATCTAACTGCGTCTGCTATGGAAGCAGGAAAAATTCCCGTATGAATAGCAAAAATGCGAATAATTCGTACGGGACTACCACCAAGCACCTGATCAACAACCGCAGTTTTACGGACAGATATAGCATAATGACAAAGCCCAGTATTTTCCTGTGTATTTATGGTTAGCAAGTTGAGGTCCTCTCGACTGATACACCATGATTTCTTAATACGTTGCGTGACGATGCTGTTTCCGTAGACTCTCAAGTTTAAAAGAACTAAATATTTGCATATGCCTTCAAACTTCACGCTAAACATTTTCACATTTACTGGTCATGTTCAACCACAAAAGCTAATTTCTAAAAGTACAATTTACATACAGTTTTCTCAGCTGGAAGCACGAATATTAGCTGACATTTGCAACCGGAGCTTATTTATCGTAAACAAACTCCGTGCAACCAGCGACCGATTCTAATATTTCCGCTGATAAATAAAAGTAGACAGCATTTCTATTACCGTTCCTTGGTTCAGGCTTACTCTTATGGCTTAAGAGTACTTTTCCGTACAATTTCGACTGGATAAAGACTGAACTTTTCATCCCCAAGCCAACGCGATTCAAAAGTTGAGTTCGGGAACATTAATTGTCCCAGTTATGTAGCACGTCATAGGGCATCCCGACGAAACAGGCCACATTATTGTTTATTGCACGGACCAGAATCACGACCAAAAAGTAAAACCGTCTCGTCTGCACTTGCTTTTCGATGATGTCGTTTGTTTTCGCCCCTGCTGCGAAAAACAAGCCTAACCTGCAAAATGTGTTTACTTCAATGACTCTTTCAATGAAACCCCCCCTCTTCACCCCACTAATAACTTGGGACTATATATATGTCTGCTGACTTTTGTTTTGTTTTGTTTTTTTGTTTTTGCTGGGTTTTAGTATACGTTGTGAAAGAACGGTTACAGGGGATTTTGCCAAGGTAACAAAAATGGCACACGGAGGAAAACCATTTTTCCTTTTCGGTTACAACCATAGCGCATCAACTTTTATTTGACAGAAATCCCACACAAGTTCGCATTGCGGACCTGTTTTTTGTTAGTTCTATATTACCTGAGCATTCCTTTGCTGTAATATAATAGTTGTTTTAAGCGATTCAACGTCATTCTTCTCCAAAGACACGAGTCCTCGATAAAAGTCCAACCTGCCCCTCTCACTCATAGCTCACAACAACTCGGTCCGGTTAAACTGATCCCCATACACCTTAAACACAAATCACTCAGCTGCGGCGATGAGAAGAGTTCTGCCACACTGAAGAGTTAGGTCAGTACATACACATCATGCGTAAAGCAGAAAAGCAGAAAGAGGTTTGTTGTGACATCCTCCAGCTGCAAAGCGGCGGGGAGCTCTGAATGCTGACAGCTGTATTCGCAGAATGAAATTACCCCAGCAATTTACAGCACATTTAAATTGGATGTGACATTTGGCCCCTGGAACTTTAAGAAAATGTAATCGAATTGGATATTTTGCAGGGAGAGAAACTCTGCTAGAAACTCCAGAATCGGTAGAACGAACCCAAACCAATAGACCATAATATGATACTTGGCTTACGTCAATCATTGTTTCACAATTTCCTCATCCTCCTTCTCTGCTACTATTTTGCTTTACGATGTTAACTTCTCTTTTTTTTTTTGTCTTTTGTGTTTTTCTTTTCTTGTATTTAAAACAATTTAATTTAAAAGCTATGTACCGACATTCAAGTGACGGCAGAATCACATCTAAATGTTAATTAAGCTGTTCTTGGAAACTGTAAAGAAAAAACGGCGCTCAATTTGACATATAAAACTTGATGGAGTTATCTGGAAAAATGCATCCAAACTTTATTTCCTTGGGTTCTTCGAGTGATGCATTTTGACGACAATTAAACAGCCAACTTAAAAGTTAAATATCGAGATGGAGACACCATGTCCCACGTTTGGAGATAACAAAATCAGTTCCATTAAGGTAGCTTAAAATTACGCACGCGATTACGACATTTCATCAGACGGTGAAAAGTCATAAAAAGAAACCCAGTACGAATGAAATGCATGAGTTTGCAGAAATGGGAAATGACAACACGTCAGTCACCCAGCTACGAAAGAAAGTTTTCAAATTCTGTATTTTGTATTTTCTTCCATTGTACTTTTACATAATATATGCGATAACAAAACTAGTTTGGTCTATGGCCTGTCGTCACATTTCTCAGCAGTCTGACATACAAATGGAGCAACTTGGTCCTTGACCCTTCGCCTCGTGTGCCTTCTTACCAAAAGACTATATTATCGCAGCAATGACAACTATTGGTCGCTCGTCAGTTGGGAGCGACCTACTGACGAGGTCATAGATGAACTGGTTTTGTAGGGTCATGCATTATGTAACTGTGTGTTGAAAGTAAATGCAAATTAGGTTTTCTTCCTAATCGAGATGGTAGATCCTTGTAACATTATTTTATCATCAACATAAGCTACGTGATCTTTTAAGCTATATTTACAATACATAACTGTGGAACTTACGACGTTATTTCTTGATTTCTAAATAATATATGCAAAATTTCTTGGAATAAATTTTATAGGATATCTGACAGCCTCCTATCAACGCATCGGAGGCTAATTCAATGTGAAAGAGGACTGCTTTCATTTCCAAGGCGCGTACGCGGAATTAATCTTTCGGAAAGAAGGGGTACGTGTGGATAAAGGAAACAAAACAAAAACAAAAACGAAGTGAAGGCAAACACATGAAGCAGATTTTGATATGCCTCGCGCGCGCAGGTTGAGCTATTACTGATCTATGCTAAATAACCAGAACAACTTGAGTAATCATGAATAACCGTGATAACAAGATAAAGAAAACATGCTTAAAAAAACGCTCGAAAAAAGCATGATATAAACAAAGTGGGATGCCCGCAAGAAAAACAGCCAATGACGGACACGTAGGGATAGTGAAGTTTTTGACCTAGCCAACCATCTAGGAAAGTGTTATTCCAGGTAACCTTACTAAATAACCTCTAATACCGAACAAAGTAGCGATAACATTTGTCTTGTTATCACTAAGTATCGTACTTGGCACCAAACACATTAGCCGTCCATCATTAATCGCCTATCTCTCCGTAGGTTTCGGCGCGCTTATTGGCTAACATGCCAAAAAAATTAATCCTCAAAAGGTGACGCCAATTAACAATTCATACTATCAAGCTGTTCAGTTTTGGGCGTACCCTTTATATATATTGCAAGTAAACTTCAATACTATTGAGTGAATTCTCTGACGCCCCTAATATGCTCAGCATGAAGCTCGTTGTTGTTTTCTTCACACTGGTGATTCTATGATCCGCGTTAGATGTGGACTTTGATTACAGTGATGATATTGTAGATGTGGAAGACATCAACAATCGTGAGTAAAATGATTTTTACTTCGAAGTTAAAAATTATTAACTCGTCATTGTTTTTATCATTATCATTTCACGGCTTTCACTCGTAGAGTTCACTGTTCTGAAGCCCAAAACTTAAAATTCAACTATAGTCTCTCGTTTTTTTATAGAAAACATTTTTGGCTTTATTAGCCAATCGAGCAGGTGAAAACAAATAGCGATAGTCAGTGTAAATGATAAGCTTTATAGTTGTGCCGCGTCCATAATTTTCGAAAGCTGTTTTCCTCTGATCGTTAGCAGTCCCTTGTCAGAAATTTAACACCAGTCAAACGAAACACAACCGCGATCATCAGCAGGAGTAGCCTCCATCGCGATTTAGCCCAGTGATCAGCAACTAGTGCTCAACAGATGAAAGAAAGAGTCATTCTCTAATTCTTGCTTGAAGAAATTTTATTTGCCAACTTGCTGCTGGGGGTTTAGTTTTACAAAGCAAAAAAAAAAGCGTAGACGAAATTATATATTAGTTAAACAAGTTGACGGGTTCCTTAGAAATTTATTCGGAAAAAATTTCTTAGAACAGAGATTGTTTCTTTGGACCGCTGGTGTTTTGTGGTCGGTGAGCAGATGGTCATCGGCTGAAGTAATAAACCACAAGGATCTCTGCTGGAATAATTACTCCAGTTAAAGCGGCGAAAAAATATGTCGGTAACTTTTCGGCACAATTCTTCATATTTCAAGCACAGTTTTTCTCTTCACTTTTTGCATTTTAACCAATCACCGCCCACAATGAGAATAACGCAGCCACTTTTAGAGCCATTTATTACTGTTTAGTGTTTACGCTGATCGTACTACATTCCGAAGTTTTCCGAAAATTCTCAGAATGTTTTCTGGAGGTCATACGAATTCAGAAAGATTTCAAATCTTTTTGAAGACTTTCGAAACAAATCTTTCGACTTAATATCAAGAACTTTTCGCTCATTTGGCATGAAAAGATTAGAAGCTCGTCAGCAGATGTGACGTCATCGAAATCTTCACATGTGAAAGATAACAATTTTTTTTTCCGTGTTAAGAAACGATATAATTTTTCTCATAGAGAGAAAACCTTGTAATGCACTGAAGGTTGTATGAGAATAAAATTTACGCGTAATTAAGGATATCCTTAAGGNCTCCAATTCTTGACAGCAAAAACATTCATCGGCCGTCGACATTGGAACACAATTGCCCCCACAAATGCACCATTCGATGTTTCCAACTCTAACATCAAAATTGGCTAATTCGCCGTCCCCTTCGTCTCCTTCTTCCTCCGAATCAACTGGTTCTTCACCAGGAGGATAGGTTGGCTCAAACCGAAATGGCTGTACACCACTCATGTTGAAAATAGCAACGGAAATCCGCGACAGAACGACAGCTTTCAGTTCGTACCGCTTGTTTTCTTCTTGTTTACGAAATCAGTGTTCCCCATATCATACGTCACAGCCTACCGCTGACACGTATTACGGGCCCGCAATGAAAAGGCCCAAAAAGCGGGAAATAGGCAGTTTCTTTCTCGCGAAAACCAAGAAACGGACAGGAATAACTATCTAATCTCGACTTTACTTATGTTAGGCTTTCTAAAAAAAGTGTTACAAAACATGACAGTTTTTGACTTCAGTTCTCCTTTAATTGCTACTGATTCAGGATAGGATGACAGTCTTTTGCAGCTTATTACTCTCCGTCATTCTGCAGTCAGGCTTACATTAGAATAGTATTTACCCAGTAACCATTCATAATCTCGCGTAGAGAGAGGCACGGTGAGAGTAAACAAATGACCTATCCTGGGCTGCACCGGACCGCTCGGTCCGGAATTCAGCCCAATAACCATTATGCGCGCGTAATATCCCTCGAATTTTCTACGTCTAAAACTTCAGCGAGTTGACCATCGTTCGCAGAAAACAAAAGCGCGTTGTAAAACCCTTGCTTTGTCTACAAAAGAGGGTTGCATTTTGTAATTTTTCCAGCTAACATTAAAGAAAAGGTGCAGTGATTACATGACTATCGGCTATTTGAGAATAATGATTCTTATACTCAAGTTTAAACAAGAAAAGTCACGATCGTGACAGTGTTTGGATATCTGATCTTAATTGCCACAGATTTTTACAATTTTATTTCTACGTTTTCTCCATAGTTTTAAGAAGATATATCAAACACTCAAGACAGTGTTTGACCACATTTAAAAACATCTCAAAGTTCGTGAAAAATACTCCGCTGCGCGTCGTATTTTCAACTCTCTTATCAATATTTGGAAATGTGGTCAAACACGATCTTTCGCGTTTGATATTTTACATCAACCATAGCAAAGCCAATCATAGATTCAGATAGATCACATTACATGAGTAATTACTAGCTGCAGTATTCATAGAATGAGTAAGGTCGTTCGGCTCTCTACACGGATGGCACAGTTAACGAGTTCTTTACGAGTACGTTCTTCCGACTTGAGGCTGGAGACTACCAGAGTCTTATTCTTTACATTTCTTTATTAAGTCACCAGTTGAACAGGATATTAAAACAGACGTGTGTTTGGTCATGTTTTCAGCCTGCAGTGAACGGATGTGCATCAAAAGTCTACACTGTAATACATGTACAAGTATAAAGAGATAACCGAACTACTCCATCTGTTGAATTGTCATCCTTTACGAATTAGATCGAAGAGAATCGTCTTATGAGTTGCGTAGCAACGGCATAAATAAGGGACGATTAAATCTAATCCTATATAGACGGATGGGCAATTCAAAAGATTTTATCAACCTGTCTTGCACGCAAGCATATTTCAGTTTTAAACTCAACAGTTTACAATATTTCAAGTTCCCGCTCGTTAATTTGTAATTCTTTTGTCGTTTTTTCTTTTAGTTATTCGCGAGAGCCGTTCGTGTCGTAACAGGCTTGCCTTGCCTCGTTGTATGCGGGCTAAAAATTTATGCAACAAAAAGTTCTATGCCAGGTTCTGCCGAGAAACCTGTGGAAAATGCTGGTAAGTTTTTCAATAACTTTGTTTTGTTTTTCTATGCGAGCAACATACACAATGATCTCTATTCGGCGAGGAAGCATACACATAAATTTGTCCGAGAATATTATCTGCTCTGGAAGGCGAAAGGTCTTTCCGAATACAAAGCTTGAGGAAAAAATGTGATCATCGAGAAACACCTTATGTCCAAGGAATAAGGGCCCATTTACCGATTTATGATCGCATCGCTAAGGAAGTGAAATTTCACTTCCGGTTACTTGCGTCAGCGCGAGCGGGGGAAATTTATAAGCATTTCAATAACTTGTAAATTCGGTTACATTTTAGATGTTTCTTCTTTCTGTTTCACGAAATGCAAAGTAAAAAAAGTACATGCAAAAAAAAAAATAATAAAAAAAACAAGAGAAAAACAGAAAAACAGGTGCAAAAGAAAAAAAAAGCTGTCTTCGTGTGGCATTTTTGTGCTTCTTTTGATCTTATCGAAGTGCCTCTAATCTGAGTGTGAACTACGCAAACGCAGATAAGGCAATTTTTGATAGATAGATCAAGGGGACACTTCCGGTATCTTCAAACGCTTAGGAATGCAGTTTTTCATTCAATTCAGCTACGTAATATGTCAAGGACACTAATCACAAGACCATGGGCGTGGTATGATGACGTCATCACTGGTGTAACTGATCATGAAAAAGTTAATACACATGAAATAACTCTGAACTAACTAAAAATGATTAGGCTATATGACAATACATTTTCCTTAAGGCTCAAAAAGATGGGTTATTTAAGTCAGATAAAGACTATCATGTTCTATTATCCTTCTAACTATTCGACCAAGGGGTTTTGATTTTGTGTCCTAGCTGTCAAAAATAATAATAAAAAAAATTATTCTACCAGCCAAAATATCTCTTTTCTGCTCAAAACATAGATATAGCGGCTGAGTCATAACTCCGCCTGCAATAACAGGAGAAAGACTGAGTGTCGTGAATTGACTCAGTACGTGCATAAGTAACCATTACAAAATATGGCGTGAAAACGATCAAAAATCCTCATTCTGTTACTATTCATCAGTGGTGATATCAGTTTTCTTTATCGTTTTTCCTTTCATTCACTTTCTTGTGCAGACGGGTTGTTAAATTATAACTTATCGCGTGATTAGTCTAAACATGTCATATGACACAGCCTACAGCGGGAATCCCCACAACTTGCTACAAACGTTCGCACGTTCAGTTTTTGTCCCAAATAAATTGCTAATCTGAAAAGAGTTGGCCTGCAATAATATTAATGACTTGTGAGCGCTATCTGAGATATCTCTAATTGAGTAGTCTTAGAGAAAGACTTAAAAAAGTAGGCACTGGATATCTAACCTTGGACGCTATCTACTCTACTAGTGACAGCTGCTCGCTTTTGATATCCG